CTGGATGACTATAGGGAACAAACCCACAGTCCTGAAGGCCAAACTCACAGCTTCTTGAGTGGTCCAGAGCAGCCCCCTCTGGAATAGCCAGATGGCCTTTCCCAGTGTTTGGCAGAGGTTGGAGAGGGGGCTGGGACTAGAGGCAGGGGTGATTAGAGATGTCTTCCTCACTGAGCATAGGCTCTCCTTCTGCCCCTATAGGAGGTGTTTCGGCAGCACTGGGGGCTGCAGCTCCTGGCCCTGGTGGAGGAGGTGCTACCCCGCCATGGCAGCAGCCACCATGGGGACTGGCACATCTCTCTGAGCAAGCCCAGTGAGAAGGAGCAGCACCTTCTGATGACCTTGGTGGGCGAGCAGGGTGAGCTACGGGGGGGGGGGGGGACACCCACAGGAAGGGGGATTGGCATGTTTGGGGAGAGGGTCCAGGAGGGCAATGGGAGGTGGGCCAAATCAGTAGAAGTTTCCCAAGGCCGTGGGAGCTCTCCTGCAGAACTGTGGGAAAGTACAACCAAGGACTTTTGGATGTGGGCTGGGCTTTTAGGATAGCAAGGTGAGGTGCTGCTTAGACTCCCTAGTTTAGGGTCTATGAGTACCAACAGCTGGGAGACAGGAGGAGGAAGAAGGTAGGAACATTGGGAATAGGAGGGGAACAGGTGTGGTTTCAGCACAAGTGTCAGACAGCAGTACTGTACACTTTGTGGTAGGCTGAGAAAGGGTGTATTTAGAATGCAACCTTAAGAAACTGAGGAATTGATCTCTTGGTATCACAACTGTTACTTAGTAGCACTCACTAAATCTTTTAATGAGTCAACCAGTGAGCAACAAGCAAAGGAGAGTGGTCATGCATGTACCATGAGATCTGTGTTTGGTCAGGAGCCAGAGAGTGAAGCTCTAGAAGCAGAAGATCTGGTCGGGGGCTGTCCAAGGGACCAAGAGTCTGCAGGGGGAGTGCCTCAGTGATCAAGGCTGTGCTGATGATGATGATGCCTCCTTCCAGGAGTGGTGCCCACTCAAGATGTCCTTTCCATGCTGGGTGATATCCGCAGGAGCCTGGTGGAGGTAAGAGGGCAGGGATGAGTTCTCCTGTTCTTTAAAGCTGTGGGAGCAGGACTTCCTGAAGTCAGGAGGGCACTCTGCACCATGTGGTACAAAGGAGCTAAAAACAGACTCTTGATCTGTAGTTCTTCCTTTCAGGCCTCCTAAGACACAGTTCCCATGGGAGAGACTGAGTGTATGAACATTTAACTACCAACTGGATTGTGCATGTGACAGCCAGGGGCAGAAAGGGGCCAAAGAGTGGGTGGTGATCAGGAGAGGACTCAGAGGGGTGGAGACCTCTGAAGGGCATTTTGACGGGTAGGTGGGAGTTTTTTGGGTAGACAGTGGGAGAAACACCATGTCTGGCAAAGGAACTGTTCAGAAGTCTGGTGGGTGGGAGCACATGCTGTGGCTCTAGAACCACAGGAGAAAGCACAAGAGACCTAGACATTTCTTCAGAAACCATGGGAGTAGGCAGTGCTTGGCCAGCTGGAGGCCAGCTGTGGTTGAGGGCAGGGCTCAGGGCACAGCAGACAGTCATGTCTTCTTGAGATTGATCCCTGACCAATGTCTGGCCCATCCGGGAGACCTTAGCTGAGGAGACAAGCTCACCACCTGTGCAGAGTGGAGCAGAGCCATGGTCGATGGGAGAGGCAGGTCTCCATTGCCTCCTGCTCCTCATTCCACACCCCTTCTTGAGGACAGTCATCATCTACCAAAATCCCTTCTACTCACTGTAAAATCCAGTGATCTGCCATCAGTCTTCCTTAAGGGGCTGTGCAGTATTTGACAACAAAGATGAGTTGTGCATGGCTGTGGTCCTGCCTCATCTACTACATGCAAGATTGAGGGGTTGATTCTGTGGGGGTTCTGTTTTTTGTTTTTATTAGCTGAGTGCCTCTGTTCCCTTACCACCACCACCAAAGGGCTTGTGAACATTAAGTAAGGAAACCTGCTGAGAATTTTTTGTACCCCATTTAAGGTGAGAGCCGAAGCCCAGGAAATTCCTTGAGATTGCACAGCTAGTAGCTTTGGACCAGGTCTGAATGACTCGAGACCCAAGTCTTTCACCATGCTGCTATATCTATACCAAGGGCTGTTCTGGTTATGAATGTCTGGGTTTGTGAACCCTGAGAGATGGTAGGAACAGGCTCTCCTTGACATTTTTTATAGACCTTTCTGCCTCTTCTCCCAGGCCCTGGGTATTATGGCTTTACTGAATACTTCATGGTGTCTGACATGGCCAAAGGCATGCCAGGCCTTTGGAAGTATGTTAGCAGGCAAATTTATCAAGTTCTAGCAAGAAAAATGGACTCTTGATAACTTAAAAAGTCAATAGAGTACTGGAAATATACAGGTGGTTCCCAGAAACCAAAGAGCTGACTACCTGGCATTAGAAAGAGTAGTAAAAGGCAGAAAGGGTACTCCTAACTCTCTGCACCTAGATCCAGGAAAGCGCCACCTTCACACTGGCACTTGTTTTCTGAGGAGGGCATCTCACCTGCTTTGCTCTCTTTCTGCCTGGATGATGATTTGTGGAGAAAACATCTGCTAGGCTGGGTCAGGGCACAGCAGCCTCTGGTCCAGAGAAGGCAGGACCACTCAAGATAACCTGTAATGTGGGAGGGGGGTAGGCAGCTAAATACCAGTGGTGATCACTCCAGTGGGAAAAGGAGCTAAAAGCTAGGGGTGGCTCATGATGTGAGCCGTCCCCAGCATCCCTTGCACTGTCTCTGGCCCATAAAGGCTTGGATAATACCAAAATACCCCACCTGCAAGGTGGAAGGTGTGTGTCAGAGGCCTGAATCTGTGGTGGTATGTGGTGGAGGATGGGTGATAAGGGGATCACAGCTGCCTTTATTTTTGTTTTTGTTTTTTTTATTTGGGGGGGGTTTGTATTTTTCACTGGAGGGACAGGTGTGGGGACTCTTTTGGGTTTGGATCATGAATGGCAGAATGGGAAGGCAGTCACAATGGGGGTCAGGGCCACCACTCGGTGGATTTAGAGCCAGACTTCTGCCCCAACAGGGTCAGGGTCAATCAGAGCCATGGTGGTGTTGTGAGGGGGAGGTAGGGAATGGAGATGTTGGGTGGAGAGGCTTTAAGCTGCCCCCAGGTGAACAGGGTGGGCATAGAGCAGAGAGAGTCACTCATGAATACAGATCCAGGCCACTCAGGAGCCAGGAGTGTGCCAGCTCCCCCTCAAAGCTTGTCCCTGTTCCTAAGCCCCAACCGCATGGCACCATGTGGGGGTGGGAGCAGTGGCAATCCAGGACCTCAGCTGAGGAGCCTGGTCCCTCCCACCCCCAGATTGGCATCCAGAACTACTCCACGACAAGCAGCTGCCAGGCCCGGGCCAGCCAGGTGCGTAGTGACTATGGGACGCTCTTTGTGGTGCTGGTGGTCATCGGTGCCGTCTGTGTGATTATCATCGTGCTGGGCTTGCTCTACAACTGCTGGCAGCGCCGGCTGCCCAAGCTCAAACATGTGGTGAGTGAGGGGGTAGGTGGGGCAGGGGTCCTGGGCTGGGGACAGTGCTGGTGGAGATGGGAGTGCCCAGCAAGCTTGCCATCTTCAACTCATGTGGGCTGGCAGTAGCAGTCCCAGGATGTGGTACTACAGGCAAAGCCACCTGTCCAGTGTTTGTATCTCAGTCGAGCTTCTCTGCAGGGCACTAGCCCCAACCACAGGAGTCCTTCATAGCACCAGCCCTTTCTGGGACAGAGTCGCCCTGCAGGCCTGAGCTCATCGGGAGGTCTCACCAAAGCCCTGGGTCAGCACTGCCCAGGGGTCAAGAAAACAATCCCCACAAAGGAGAGGTCAGGGCCAAACTCCTATTTTTCCCAGGAGACCCAGAGTCTCTTTATAAGAAGGCTGTTGGGAAGGGTCAGCTGGTGTCTGGGAGGCCACCAGCTTGTTTAGTCAGAGGATCAGTAGGATTATTTTAAGAAAGGAATTGGGCTGTGGAAACATAACAGAAGGGAAGTGCCATCTGTTGAGGGTCCCTGGGGTTCCCTGTGTAGAGTTTTACTGACTAGGGAAGGAAAATGAAGTGACTTGTTCAAGGTCACCGCCTGGGTCAACGGGGCACATACAGGCAGCTTGTGTGTTGGGTGGGGCCGGGCCGGGCCGGGCCGGGCCGGACCAGAGGCGCTAGCCCAGCGGCCTGGTCCCGGCCCGCAGTCACACGGTGAGGAGCTGCGCTTCGTAGAGAACGGCTGCCACGACAACCCCACGCTGGATGTGGCCAGCGACAGCCAGTCGGAGATGCAGGAGAAGCAACCCAGCCTGAACGGCGGCGGGGCCGTCAACGGCCCGGGGGGCTGGAGCACTCTCATAGGGGGCAAGCGGGACCCCGAGGACTCGGACGTATTCGAGGAGGACACGCACCTGTGAGGGCGTGAGCCGGCTGCTCCAGGACAAGCAAGACAGACGCGGGGCGCACAGTAGCGCCACCTCCCCCCTGGCCGCCGCTCCCCCACGGCCTGGTTCCCCCCACAACCTGGTTCTGGGTGCTGGCTCCTCCTGCTTCCCCCTCACCCCTCATAGCCTTGGCATAGTCCTTCCCACCCCCACCCAACGTCCTGAGGGGCCGGTCCCGGGACCCCCCATTAAAACCGCCCGGAGCCCACGCCGGGCCCAGTGCGTCTGCCCGACTGGTTTTTGCTGTGGGGTGGGTGGGTCTGTGGGGGCTTGGGGGTGGGGTGAGCGGGAGGGAGGAGTGGGGTGGCCAGTGGCTGTTTTACATCGGGCTCGGAAGCATCAGAGTCGCTGCCATCTCTGCCACTTGTGGCCGGTCCACGCTTGTCCACTTGTCAGCGCCATAGATGCCAGCTCCTTCTTCGCCAGCTGCGGGAAAGGGGACCTGGGCCGAGTGTGGTGAGGACTCCGCAGCCCCGAGAGGGCACGGCATCCTCAGAGAGCCTTCAGCCCCTGCGCGTGCAGGGGAAGGCCCGAGGGGCATGTGGACGCCTGGGCACCAGCACTTGATCCACCGCAGACCACTGGCCAACAGGCCTCCGGTGTGTCACAGCAGCCTTACAGACGGGAGCACGGTGACGCGGTGGTCCCAGAGGACTTCCTGGAGGCGAGGACTGCCACGGAGGCCTGGAGGACAAGTGGGCAGAGAGGAGGTTCACCCTCTGAGTATTCGGGGCTGAGGTCAGACTCGGGGCAGACCTGGGACTCCGGATGTGTTTCCTCTCTCTGATGCCTGTGGACCTGGCATTGGGAAAACATGGGGTCCACAGTCAGTATCTGGTCATCAGAGATTAGGAAATTCATAAATGCAGCTAAAGCAAATATGGCACTGAAATTGCCATCTTCATGGTTCTGGCGGGAATAGAGCAGGTGCCCTATTGGGATGTAGGGCACTTGTATTCCTTGTCCCTTCTTTCCCCATTACTTATTCCCACAGCTCCCTTGGTTCCTTCTCTCACATCAGGTGCCACCTGAGTTGGTAACTCCCAAAGCTGAATGTTATTCATCATTCCCTGGTCCAACCTGGATGTCCCCCAAGGCTGCCTTGCTCAGTGGTGGCTCCACCACCATTCATGATGACCTCCTTGCCTCGACATTGCATCATCTATTGTACTTGTCTCCTGACTTCCACATTCAAAAATCTGTCTACTTAGCATACTTCCACATCACCAGGATCCCTACAGGCAGATTCCTCCTTGGTCTCCCTGCCTGCAGACTCCCCTAGCCAACCTGCTGCCCCAAGCCACCAGAGGGTCCTGGCTGAAGCAGAGCCCCATCACCTCTCTCCAAAACGCCTGCTGGCCAGAGTCCCAGCCTCTTCAGATCTGGGCCCTGGCCTCTGATGCTCAGAGTCTGCCTTTTGTGTTTCCACCTCCACACCATGTCTCTGCTGGTCTGCTTGTCACCTGCCTTACCTGAAGGAGGCTTTCTTCAGACAAAAAGAATATCTCCCCTCCTTCCACTTCCATAGATCTCCCCTCCCAGACTATAAGCCTGTCCTGACCCAGGCTCTGACCTACCCCCTCCCTGTCCAAGTACGTGCTGTAACAGTGAGATGTGGATGTGAATGTATGTGACAAGTAGGACATCACTCTCCTGTGAGTGCCAGCTGGGTGGGTGTTCAGGGTGGGTGGGGCTGCTGCTTGACCTGACAGCTGCCTCCGGGTACTCCTTCTCTACCTCAGGTACTACGCCTGCCTGTATGGACATGAGGAGCTGGTACTCTACCTTCTGGCCAATGGTGAGGGAAGGGAACAAGGGCTTTGGGTGTGTGTGTGTACACGTGTGCAAACAGTGTGTGCATGTGTGCACATTTGCAAACAGTCTTGAGTCCTCTTTTTCCCTCACCCCTACACCCAGTCAGCAAGTACTGCTAGCTCTACTTTCAGAACATATTCATTGCTCTGTCTACTTCCCATCTTTGCTACTCCTACCCATCCTAGCTACTGCACCTGTCCCTGGACTATCTGTCCCTCGATGCAGTGCCAGCCTCCTTGCTGGTCTTATGGTTGCCCCTTCTGCCCCACTTACAATCCTCTGATGGTTTTGTAATGTATTTAGCATAGAAATAGAATGCCTTGCTTTGCCTGGGAGCTGCTACATGACCTGCTCCTCCCGCTCTGGCCTCTCTTCTTTGGCTCTCCCTTGTGCTCCCTGTTCCAGCCATACTGGTCTCCTGTGTGCTGCTTCAAGCTTGCTGCTGCCTCAGGGCTTTTGCACTTGCTGTCCCTGCCTGCTTAGACTGTTCTTTCCCAGATCTTTGCATGGCTGACTCTCTCACTTCACTTAGGTCTCTACACATTGTTACTGCCACAATGCCTGCCCTTCTATGCCCACCCTCTGTGGCAGCTGCTGTCACTGTCACCCTTTATCTTGTTTAGTTTTTCTTCATAGCACCTGATAGCATTCATTAATCTGTTTATTTTCCTTCTGCCCCACTGTCACTTCAGTGAGAACAGGGACCTGATTGTTAATGGCAGTGTCCCCAGTGCACAGAAGAGGGCCAGCCTCTCAGCCTACTCTGTTTTATGTAGTCTGTGGTATGTGTGAGTGAATATGTGTTGTGAGTGCACAGGGCTTTGTGTGCCTAAGCCCTGGGGTCAAAGTGGGCCCAGGGCCATTTAGAAAGGTGTCCCCAGGGTTTATGGACCCTCCATGGGAGGAGAAGAGGAAGAGGATGGAGATTAGGATCCCCAGACCCCTCCCCAACTGTAGGATGTAACCCATGGCCCTGCTGCCCTCAGGAGCCCACGGTAAGGGCAACACTTTCTAGGATGAACTCTGCTTCTTGGGGTTGTAAGTGATACCATCCACCAGGCCCTGCATAATTATAAGCAAGTGACAGCCTCCTGCAGGAGGTGGGACTACTATGACTACTTCCTGCAGTAGTGAGCTGGAGCCCAAGGCAGGTGGATGGCCTTTGCCCAGTAGGTCTGAGGTGGGTGTGGCCTGCATGGAGCTGAGGGCTCTCCTACAGGATGGGATTGGGGACTGGAGTGGTGAGAATGAGAAGAGGTGCTCTTTGTGGTGCACAGGAAGCCCTCCTGGGCCCATCACTGCATCATGGGTGCATGCAGTGCCTACTTCACCAGCATTCTGGTGAACCACACCACATGGAAGGGCAAGAGCATCATGGTCCTCAGGCATCCACTGGTGCATCTTTCCCTGGAGTTGGGGAGCAGAGGGATAGCAGGGGGCTTTTGCTGGGCCATGCTTCTGACCTTCCTTCCTTCCTGTCTGTTTCTTCTGCAGATCAACTCTGTGGCCTTTGGGTCCCTGTACATAGGTGACTCCCCACCACCAGGCCAGGGTTGGGTGGACAGTGAGGGGGCTGTGTTTCTGTCCAGGAGCAGACCCAGCTGTGGCCTTGGGCTGACCTTTCACTGCCTGGTGCTTTGTCCCCTGCAGTGTGAGGCAGTTCCAGTTGCCTTCTGGGTTGGGTTGGCAGACAATGAGCTGGTATATCTGCTGAGGAAAGCTTGTGTCATAAACTGAGCCCCTCTCCCGTCTGTTCTGGGGCCTGTAGGACTCAGGCATTGGCTCTTATGGGGAAATCAAGGCAGCATGTAGGCCCAGAGGTCCCAGCCCTGCAGCCAAGTGGCTGAGCGGGACGGACCACCTATGAAACTCTACATGCCAATGCAGTGTACTGCTAATGGCCCCTCTCAGGCCCTGAGCCTTCCACACTGCTCCCGGGCCACCCAGATGTCAGTGTGGAACACAATGACTGTGAGTGCTTAGCCCAGCAGTGCCAGCTATTGCATCAATGACCTGGAGATCAAGTGCAGGGATGTGTCTGAGTTTGGTGTGTCCACACTTTGGAGTCCAGGGCTTTGGGCAGGACTTGGCAGAGCCAATCTAGCTTTCTGAAGCTGCATTATCTCCTCTGCAGTGCATCCAGGTGAGGCACTTACAAGTATGTGAAGGTGCTGAGCATCAGGCTCCCACACCAGAGAACCCCTGGTTCTGGGAGGACCTGGTCCTACTGGCTGATTGCACCCTACCACCTGAGCTCCTACTAAGCACACAAGGGCGTGGGGCTGGGGCTGGTGGGCAGGAGACATGTCTGGGGACAGGGCTATGGTAGGCAAGCCCCACATTTGTGTTCAGTTCCTTGTGTAGCCTTGAGCCAGTCAATTCCCTTTGAGCCTAGTTGTTCACTGCTGTTGCTGTTTGTCTTTTATTTAAATCTGCAAATGGGGTGGCAGTCCACGCCTCCAGGACCAAGCCAGAGTAGGCTCTTTTCAGAGGCTAACCACTCAACTTTCTCTCACCTACTCTAATGGTTTCTCCTCTTACATTCCCCAAGGTGATCTTGGGAGCTGCCCTTCCCTTTTCCCGATGTCTTTAAAATCTGTCCTAATGTTTGCTTCTGAGTAGAGAGCTGCAGCTTTCTCTGTCATAAAGTGCTGCCCATCCCCCCAATTAAGCCCTGGGCCAGGTCTTCTGGGCACAGCCGTAGCCCTGGTCTTCCGTAAGCGTAGCCTTCTCCAAGCCTTCTTCTCTGGCTTCAGTGACTGATTTCTGGGTCCTTCTGAATGACCACTTCTGAGAGAATGAGGGGCTGGAGGCCATTGGTAACCTTCCGGCCATCGCCCTGAATCTGGCCCTGCATCTTTACCCATGTGCTCCATCTACTACATATACAGCAACCACACCAAGGTGCAGGCTGGGGTGGGCTGTGTGCACTGTGCCAGGGGCAGGGGGAGGGGGAGCACAATGGTCAGGATAGGTACACAACCCATGTTACCATGGGGCTTCAAGGGTGTGGCCAGGACCTGATTGGCTCTGAGAGACAGGTTTTCCCTGAGGCTGGAGAGGGAGTGTGGAGCCCATTTGCATTTTTCTTTTAGGCAGAGGGACCCTTGGTAGGTTCCAGAATAGGAATGAGTGACAATGCCCATGTCATGATCACATGACACTTGGGGACATAGTGTCAGCCACATGGGTAGCTGAGGACAGTAACTCTGGATTCCCACAACCATGCAGATCCCTTAGCCTCTTGCCTGTAGTTTGCTGAAAACTCCTGGGGTTCTCTATGTCCTGTCTTCTGTTCTCTCACTGCCTCTCTGTATCTTCATCTGCTCCAAGGCCTTCCTCACACAGGGCAACATGGGTGGCGGCAGATAGTGCCAAGAGTGTTCTCTGCCAGGGTGTGTGTGTGTGTGTGTACACATGGTAACTTCTGGAAGAGAGAAGTTTGCCTCCATGTGCAGGTGAGTGCCCCTGGGCAGGCAGCTTGCTGGTTGTCTATTCCATCTTGGGCCACAGGCCATAACCAGCCTGTTTGTCAATAAATTTTTATGGAACACAACCACACCAATTTATTTCTATACTGTCCTTGGCTGCTTTTGCACAGTGGCAGAGCTGAGCAGCTCTAACAGAGACCCTGTGGCACAGTATTTACCACATAACCCTTTAGAGAATCCCTCCTACCTCCTCATTTCATTTCTCCTATAGCATAGTCCAGCTCTCTGGTCCCTCCCACCCAGCATCCACCTTGGCCCATCCTGACCCCAGTAAGCTTTAGAACCCAAAAGGCAGCTTCTTAATGACTCATAGCAATGACTGAGGCAAGGACTTGGGCTCCAAACCTGGTTTGACTCTGGGTTAGTCCACCACAGAGCTGTGAGATCTTTGTGCTTCAGTTTCCTCCTCTAGAAAATGGGGATACTGATAGTTGTTACCTCCTAAGGTCGTGTGTGGATGAATGTGCATGTTACAAGTACAGTGCCTGGCACAAGTAAGCTAACAGGCCCATGGCCTGTGATGGGTTAGCAGAGGTCTGGTGAGCTCTGTTTCCATCCTGCTTCCTGTGGTCATCCAAAGTCTGGGCCAGAGCTGAACACATGATCTCTTCCAGCACAAGGCACAACTATGGCTATGCCCTAAATCCCACAGTCTCTATAGATGGGAGGGAGCTAGTAAATAGTTACTTCCCCACCATTAGTAGGGTCCCTGCCTCAGTTTCACCAGAAGCAACTTTTGTCACTTTTCTGACAGCCTTTTTAAGGCAGGCATGATTGTCTGCACCTCACAAGACAGCTGAGGCACCGAGGTGAAGTGATTTGCCCAAGATGCCACAGCTAGAATTTCCTAGCCCATGTCTGCGTGATTCAGAGGTCAGGCTCTGTTCTGCCTGAGGCATGGGAACCCCAGGCTCTTGTGTCCCTTTTGGTCCCATGGATGCCTACAGGGATCTGGGCCAGGCACCTAGCATGGGTAGGGAACTCCTGCTCTGCCTGAAACCTCCAATCTCTCTTCCCAGCAGGTCCCAACCTTACTGCTGGGGTCCTGCGAGGCCTTGGTGATCTTGAAGTGCACCGTCCTTCACCCTTTATTTCATTGCAGCTTCCCTCTCCAAAAAGGTGGCCTATGATGTGCTGAGCATGGCCAATGTATAGTTGTTGGAGGGTCTGAAACGACTGTGGCTGTAGTCTGGCCCAGCTGCTGGATGAAGACAACATGGTTGGTGTGTGCAGGTGTGTGGCCTGTGGCCAAGCTGTTCTGCCTGGTGGGGGCTGAGGACCAGTGAACTGAGTACATTGCCAAGGTTATCAAGAAGGTGGGCTGGTGGAAGCCTTGGTGGGTGGGGGGGCAGGCTGTGGTTGTGGTGGGCAGTGGTTGTGCCCTGAGCCAGTCTGTTCACAGCTGGTAAAGTGGGAGGACTTCTCAGAGGCTGTGAGGGAGGAGATAGTGGCTCTAGTGGCTGGCAGAAGCCAGACTCTATCCCTGCTAGATGACATCCGCTTCCACATGACCAGCATGGTGCAGATCCACAGCAAGATCAAGGTGATGCAGCAGGGGCTGCATGTAGTTGATCAGCTGATGTCTATTGGTCTGAACTGCTGATGGCTACTGAGTTAGGGGCTCCCTATGGACTGCACATGTGGTCTGGTTGACTGTGTGCTCCCTTGTATGCTTGGGGACACTCAGGGATGGCCACCTAGGATAAGCCTCCTCTGCTATTTCACAAACCAGCCCCCAAAGCCCTGGGGCAGGACACCACTCAGGGAAACCTGGAGTGGTATCTCTTAGCCTCTCTCCCTCAGGACCCTTTCCCCCACCCCAGCCTGGCTCCCTCTGGCTGCTTGCTTCCTAAAACCAAGGTGCCTTCTTCTTCTTTGTGTGTGTGTGTGTGTGTGTGTGTGTGTGTGTGTGTGTACTTTACTGATTATGCTATTAGAGTTGTCCCATTTTGTTCTCCCCTTTATCCCCCTCCTCACTATACCACCCCTCCCACCATCATTCCCCCTTAGTTCACCCCACCTTAGTTCATGACCAGGGTTGCACATGTAAGTTCTTTGGATTCTCCATTTTCTGTACTATTCTTAACCTCCCCCTGTCTATTTTGTGACTACCAATTATGCTTCATATTCCCTGTATCTTTTCCCCCATTCTCTCTCTGCTCCCTCCCCACGGATAATACTCCATGGTATCTCCATTTCTGTGATTTTGTACCTGTTCTAGTTGTTTGCTTAGTTTTTTTGTTTGTTTGTTTTTTAGGTTCAGTTGATAGTTGTGAGTTTGTTGCCATTTTACTGTTCATAGTTTCAATCTTCTTTTTCTTAGATAAATCCCTTTAACATTTCATGTAATAAGGGCTTGGTGATGAGGAACTCCTTTAGCTTGCTCTTATCTTGGAAGCACTTTATCTGCCGTTCCATTCCAAATGATAGCTTTGCTGGATAGAGTAATCTTGGATGTAGGTCCTTGCCTTTCGTGACTCTCAATACTTCTTTTTCAGCTCCTTCTTGCCTGTAAGGTTTCTTTTGAGAAATCAGCTGACAGTCTTATGGGAACTCCTTTGTAGATAACTGTCTCCTTTTCTCTTGCTGCTTTTAAGATTTTTTCTTGTCTTTAATCTTGATATGTCTTGGTGTGTGCTTCCTTGGGTCCCACTTGTTCGGGACTCTATGAGCTTCCTGGACTTGCATGTCTAGTTCCTTTGCAAGATGAGGGAAGTTTTCCTTTATTATTTTTTCAAATACATTTTCAATTTCTTGCTCTTGTTCTTTCCTTCTGGCAGCCCTATGATTCAAATGTTGGAACATTCAAAGCTGTCCCAGAGGTTCTTAAGCCTCTTCTCATTTTTTTGAATTCTTATTTCTTCATTCTGTTCTGGCTGAATGTTTCTTTCTTCCTTCTGTTCCAAATCTTTGATTTGGGGTGTGTTTTTCTTCCCTGCACTGTTGGTTTCTTGTATGTTTTGCTTTATGTCATTTTGCATAGCTTTCACTTTTTCCTTTATTTTGCATCTGTATTGAATCATTTCTGTGAGCATCCTGATTGCCAGAGTTTTGAACTCTGCATCTGATAGGTTGGCTATCTCCTCATTGCTTAGTTTCTTTTCCTGAAGTTTTGATCTGTTCTTTCATTTGGGTCATATTTCTTTGTCTTGGTGCACCATGGTTATGTTGTAAGGCACAGAGCCTTAGGTATTTGCCAGGGCAGGGCAACCCACTTTGATGCATTATGGTACTGTATGTGGGGGTGGAGTCAGAGAGGGAACAGTGCTGCTTTCGTGGCTCTCTCCCCACTTTCAGTCACTTCCCTCACATCCCATAAGCGGATTGTGTCCTTTCAGGCACTGATTCCTGGGTGGGTGGGCTTGTGTATGTCCTAGGATCCTGTGGGCCCCTCCAGCAGACTCTCCTATGAGACTGGGAGTTTCTCCCACTGCTGCAACCCCCACAGGGTCACTTTTATAGCCAGAGTTTTTGAGGCTTTATGTTCCCATGCGGGAACCCTGGGTTGTGCAGTCTGTCCTGCCCTCCAGTTGTTCCTCCCAGATTAATCTGCACACTAATGTGGGATATCCCAGTCTGCTAGCCACTTCTGCCCTGACATTTCAGCTGCTGACATTTCATGCATCTTCTCTGCCCCAGCTGTCCATCTCCACAAGTCTGGATGAATGTTTCTTTAACTTCTTAGTTGTCAGACTTACATACAGTTTGATTTTCTGGCAGTTTTGGTTGTTTTTTGTTTTTAAATTGATTGTTATCCCTCTTTTGTTTGTGCAAGGAAGTGAAGTGTATCTACCTACACCATCTTGGCCAGAAGCCAAGTTCTGAAGTTTCCTTCTTGATAGGAGAACTCAAGAGGTAAAAATTTTAGCCTTAGTTGATAGCCTTAAGTGATTAATGCATGTGGAAAGCTGGTATTCCAGGAACTGGAATGCACGGCCACAGTGACTCCAGGAGATCCACAAGCAATTCAACCTTTGGTGCCCCAGAAGGTCTGCAAGCCATAGAGATGGTATCTGAGCCATTGTGTTCCAAGAAGGGATGCAGATAAAGAGTTGTTGATCCACAAATAAATAAGTACTAGGAAAATTGTTGCAGGACTGCAACTCTTATCCAATTAAGCTTTTTCCAAACCTCTTACTTACCCTTTCTTCTTATAAAAAGGTAAGCTTGAAAAGAGATGTTAAGATGGTTTTTGAGGATACATAACCCTCTGTCTTCTCAGATTGCCAGCCATCTGAAAAAAGCACCTGTGAAGATTCAATCCTTGTCTCTACTTATTGGCTCTGGTAGCAACAGGCATCATGACCACTGACTTTTCCAGTTTCATATTCAGGCAACCCAGATGGTACACCCTCAGGAGTCTCCAGTAAGCAGGTATTTGGCAGGGAGTCCCATTGGCTGCCTGGACTGAGGGGCCCTGGGGTACAAATTTGGAGACTCCCTATCAGCTGCCAAGTGATTTCACTTAGGGACTCGCCTCTGATTTTCAGCACTCCCTGTCACCTTTACTTTCAACTCAATCACTGTGCTTTCTGGTTTGGGATTGTAGTCCTGGGTAAATTAAGGTGGCTTCTGGTTTACAGAACTGGCCCTGCCACTCCCTGTACAACACAGGTTTAAGGGCCATAAATGACATACAGAACAGCATACCTGGACAGTTTCTCGCATTCAGTATTAGCCTTAAAAGATGCTTTCTTTTGCATTCTATTCGACCAAGAATATCAAATGTTGTTTGCTTTTGAATGTCAGGACCTGGAATCTTGGGGCAAGACTCAGTACTGCTGGGTAGTCTTACCACAAGGGTTCAAGAACTCCTCGACAAGTTTTGGGGAGACCCTGAGCCAGGACTGAAAAGATCTAAAACTAGAGTGAGGAACTCTGTTACAATATGTAGATGTGTCATTTAACTAATACTGTAGGTATATTGAACCATTTGGCATCTTGTGGCTATAAAGTATCAGCACAGATGGCCCAGATTTGCCAACAAGCAGTAAGGTTCCTTGGGTTCCTGCATGAACCCAGCAGAAGGAGTCTTTTTGGGCTTGTCAAACAAATAAGATTCCACTGGCCAGGGGTGGCTAGCATGCTTGAGAGCTGTAACAGCCACTTGTGAGCTTTTACAGGAAAGTGAAAAGTTTTCCTGGGTACATCCTCTTACCATTTATGTACCTCACCAAGTGTTAAGCCTGCTAGAGCAAAAAGGAAATTTGTGGTTCACTGCTGGAAGAATGGGCAGGTACCAAGAAATTCGTCCTGACAATTCCAACATCTTCCTCAAAACTAATTGATTTACAGGACTATCCTCTAGAAGAGGCAGACTGAACTCTATATGCATATGGAAGTAGTTATATGGACAAAGGAAACGGAAAGGCTGTGTATGTCATTGTGACTCCTGAAGGAACAGTAGAGGCCAAGGCCTTACTTTCAGGAACTTCTGTTCAGAAACCTGAACCGATTGCATTGAAAAGAGAATGAAGTGTATACTGACTCAAGGTCCTAAAATTTCTAAAGCCATATGGAAAACAATAACTAGATGTGTTTTGTGCCAGAAGAACCCCAAGACAGATCTCCATCAGAAGAAATAAGGAAACAATACCAAGGACAGTGCCCATTTGAGGACTGGCAAATAGACTTTACCCAGATGTAGAGAGTCCAAGGGTGGAAATACAGTATTTGTTAGTCTTTGTTGCTACCTTTTCAGGAGACTTACCCTACTAGAACTGAGAAATCCTCAGAGGCAGTGAAAGCCCTACTGAAGGAAATAATTCCTTGCTTTGGCCTACCCACGCAGCATCCAGCGCGATAATGGAGCTGCTTTTGTTTCAGAAATTACACAGTTTGTGAATTTTTAGAAGTCAAGTAGAAACTCCACAAGGCATGGAGTCCTCAGGCTTCTGGGAAAGTAGAGAGGATGAATTACACCTTGAAGAAAAATGTCGCCAAACTGTCAAGAAACTCACCTTCACTGGGATCATGTTTTACGTATTCTGCTCAGGATAAGGGCAGCTCCTCAAAATGGGATTCAGCTGAGTCCTTATGAAGTTGTGAACTATGTACAACCTTTAAGTCAGACCTCAGCTGTGATTAATGATATTGTCTGTATTAGAGATATCTCTTTCACAGGTTTGCTACATTCTTCTGAGCCTGGAGATAAGGTGCTACTTAAGACATTGAAGATAGGATCCCCAGAAAGCCAACTAGAAGAAAAGTGGACTGGAACCTATGTCAAACAAACTTTCATTTCATGCCTTGCATACCTGGGGCTACATTAGATGTTTGTACTCCCATGGAAAGATAATTGGGGACTTATTGTAACTCTAAAGGACAGGGAAATGTTTTCTTTAAAAACACTAATGTAGCCCCAGGTGGAAAATGTGCAACTTCTGTCAACTGTACTAAAAACTGTTTTAGATGAACTGCAATACCACCAGTAATGTTTCTTGTGCTTTTAATAACGTCAAGTTGCCTGCAGGATGGTTTTTAATGTGTGGAAGGACTGTTTATTCAACACCAAAATGATTTTTAAATAATCTTATCTGCTTTTATGTTGTTTTAGTTTGTAAACTAATCTAATAGAAATAAGATAATTAAAAACCAACAAAGGGTATGACAGAGGAACTCAAGAGTTAAAGATTTTAACCTTAGTTGATAGGTTTAAGTAATTAATGTATGTGGAAAGCTGTTATTCCAGAAACTGGAATGCATGACTACATGACTCCAGGAGGTCCAGGAGGTCCACAGGCAATTCAACCTTTTCTCCTCAGGGGGTCTGCAAGCCATTGTGTTCCAGAGAGGGATGCAGATAAAGAATTGTTGATCAACAGATAAAGAAGTACCAAAAGTACTCTTATCCAGTTAACCTTTTTTCCAAACCCCTTACCTACCCTTTTTTATAAAAAGGTCGGCTTAAAATAAGATGTTAAGATGGTCTGTGGAGTATATAACCTGCCATTTTCTCAGGTCGCTGGCCATCTGAATGAAGTGCCCATAAAGATTCAATCCTTGTCTCTACTTATTGGTTCTGGTAGTGGCAGGCAGCACAAACACTGACTTTTACAGTTTCATTCTCACAGGCACAGAGATGGCCAACAGCGAGCAGGAGAGTCTGGTGGCAGTAAAGCTTGAATTCACTGTGGGAGTCTTAGCTCCTGGAAGGGGGTGGAGTTGGGGCAGAGTGAGGTGACAGTTTCTGGAGTTGGGGCCCCTCAAGGAGAGGGTTGGGTGCCCAGCAGGGGTCCCTCAAGGGTTAGGGATTGCCCTCGGTCTGTGGGTCTTGAGTAGGCACCCCCTGTCTGTGGGGGCTCATTCAGGCCGCCTTGGGTGTACACCACAATCCCCAGCTCCTAAACATGGGCATGGTCCCAAAAAGGAATGGAGGAGGAGTGCTGATTGAGACTTGCGTGTAGTTTTCATAGTGTGGCTGCACTAGTTTTAGAAAAAACACATCTATCCCTCACTTTATAATTAATTTCTCACTCTAAGTCCAAAACTGCTGAATGAAAAACATAAATTTCCATAAATTTTTGGGGGTAATACATGCATTCTCTCCCAACTCAAGATATCCACATAATTTTCACAGAAGTAAAAATAGATCAACCAAACACTAACAAAATAACAATGGAAAAGGAAGAAGCACAGCTTACACACATAATGTTATGTAGGGACTGCTTATTGCACTTCCAAAAAGAGGAAGGGAGTGATGATGAGGCAGGGCAGAGACAAGATCAGTGGCAGTGCTCTGCTGGGTCAAACTAAAATTGGGAGCAAAAGGAAAAGCCAGCTCCTATCTTTATTTAAAATGTTATTTCATTCATCATAATTTTTTGCATTAATTTTGATTTAAAAAGTAATCTTGATTACTAAGATTTTTGGTGCCCCCTTACATTCTGTGCCAAAGTGAGTCCCTCATTGGCCTCACTGTAGTTCTGGCCCTGATCCAAACAGTCGTTACATGAAGTAATTCTGTAGTAAAAAATATAAAATATTTTTTTCACCCATTCTCTAATATCATCCCTACCTGGGTGCGGGTGGGGGGGGGGGGGTGTTGCTGAATGAAAACTTTGCATCATATGTTCTCTCCTCTACCTGGAAAACTCCTACATAGCCTTCAATGCCCCCTCTCATAGCAGCGGACTGAGGAAAGGAAGGCAGGGTGAGGCTGCTCTCTGGCTACTGGCATCACAAAGTCAAGAGTGCTCTTGCCAGGTCTTGGGGCAGCCTAAGTCCCTGGAGCAAACATTTTGAAGGCAGAAACTTTTCTCACTTTGGGAAAAGTCTGTACCAAAGGCCTCAGAGGCAGCGAGTTCTGAAAGAAGAGGCTCTGGGGCCCTTAGGCCTCAGGGATTTACTGCTCTGAGCGAGGAAGCTGCCCTCAGGCAATACAGTCTGTGCAGGGAGGGGTTGGGGTGGGGTGGTGTGGTGTGGTGTGGATTTTAGGTACAGAGTTGCATTGTGGCACTCTGCTCCTGGGGCTTTGTCACCTACCTTCTTTCTTTGGGAGGCAACAAGTGCTCTGCACCTCAATCTGGCACCTTGGGCTGGGATTTAGCATTTGGCTTTGAACAAATCACATAATTCCTTGGAGCCTCAGTTTACTTAGTCTAAATGGAAGCAACAGTACCAACCATCCAAAGCTAGTGTGAAAATTAAAGAGGGTCATGAAAAAGCTCCAACCATAGTAGGGGCTAAACGAGCAATGTGAATCTCAGTGTGAATATTCATTCTCTAGAAAATATAACACAAGCAATGTGGGCAGATTTTGTAACCTTTCCTTATGTGGAGAAAAAAGGAGATTCTATGGAAGATAACCTTGCAGGGTGATCTGATCATAAATTGCTAACTGCATGTCATGGTGGGTAGTCACTCCCCAGGAATATAACTTCTTTAGAGAAAGAATCTTAAGCCAGCCTTCCTTGTGCATCTGGGCTAACAAACATTTGAGATGCCTGAAGGCATAACCACCTTTAGCAAAGCACATAATCTTGTTAACTATTTTGTAATCCAATACCCAAGTAATCTCCCACCTCCAAGTAATCTACCATATTTTCTCTTCTAATTTCAAATGTATAAAAGAAGCTGCAAAATAAAACTATTATTCTTAAGAGCATTTGAGATCTAGTTCCCTGGCATAGGTCTTCAGTTTGATCCATTCTCATAAAAATTCTCTACAGGTTGGGATTTTTTTCATTGACAGTTACTTTTGGAGCTTTTTAAAGCTAAATGTGTATTCTTTATGTCCTCTCCCAATTCCTTGACCTTCAAACTTAGTTGATCACCAAACCTTGCCAATTTTACCTCTTTAGGAGCTGCAGCTTAGTCTCCCCTTTCCTGTCCCCACTGCCACACGACTCTGCCTCACCGGTAGTCCATGTTCACTGCCTTGTTGGCATCTTCCAGGCAGATACTGAGCCTCCGCCTCTCCTCCTTCAAAGCCTCAGTGTGAACTCTTCATTGCTGGTCATAGCCTGATGGCTGTCTTTGATACCTGAGCCCTTTTTTGCGGACACCTGGCTTATTTACCAGACTATTTTTTTGCACCAGGCTCTAGATATGAGCTGAAGTGCTAAATGTGACCTGTGCTCTATTCCTTGAAAGGCACACTCATGCCTGCCCCTTTCCTTTCTTTCCCCCTGGTTGGCTGGAACAAGTAGGCAGTGGCAGGAGCTGTAGCTTGAACGATGGATTGGAAGCCTCATACTCCAGACTGCAGGTTCAGGAGAGTGAAACAAGGGAAGAGAAAGAAGTGGGCTGCCTCCTCCCTGCCAGCCTCCATCTTGGTCATGGCTGTGTTCTCTATCTGAAGCCCCAGCCTGACAAGTGCTGCCCCTCTCACAGGGACGTGCTCTCTGTGGAGTGTCATGGCCTCCAGCCGTGGCTCCCCCTGTGACCTGAGAAAGATTAGTAAGAAGCTAAGAAAATTCCAAGTGGAATAGGGAAACTGAGACAGAGAGCTGAACACAATGGTTGAGCAATTAGCAGCCAGACACAAAAGGTCACCTCCCTAGAGATAACATCTAGGTCTCAGTTGTGTTTCAGCTCCAGGCCCAGAAAAGCAGCAAAAGGAGGTGGGCTACACCAGAAGCAACTGCAATGACGATTAAAGAACCCCTGCCACTGACCAAACAGAGGAGACCATGACCCTGACAGGGTACACCTGGAAAACTGATGAGTATTTTACTGAAACCCTCCCCTAAGATTCCCTCCTGCACCTGCCCTGTGAGGAAGAAACAAAAGCCTCAAGACAAAGGACTCAGCATGAGAGCATATGCTCTCCCTGTGGTTAGCAGCTGGAGCCATACTTTTCCCTTTCTTCTCCTCACCTGCTCCCCCCACCCCGCCACCACGCCAACTTTCTTCACAAGACAATGAGCAGCTGGCAGCTTGTCCCAGGCTTATCCCCTGAACCTCTCCCCAAGGCCCCTTTTCTCTGATTTCACAGGGATCTAAGGCAACCCAGCCTAGGCTCTCTTGTTACTTCTATGCTAAGTATGCCCTTCTCGCCACCCTCCACAGGCCCAAGAGAAAATGTATTAATAAAACTCTTACTTAACTACTTTCATCTTGCTGATCTGTAATTCTTTCCTGCATTGGTGAGAATAACTGAGCCTCCAGTAACACACCTACCCTGTGGGTTTCCTTCACCACACTGTCCTTGTTTGGGTGCTGCTGAGGGTACCCTAGGTTTCCTCCACCCATCCTGAAAGTCCCAGTTCTGGGACCAACCTCCATTCTCAAGTCTTGCCTTGAGCCCCCTTGAGCCCCCCACTCCCACTTATTTCCTTGCTTTCCCACAGGGCTGCCTCTGGAGAGCATGCGAGCCTTCTGGGCTGGCCCCATTGTGTGCTCTGTCTCATTTCTTGACCCTCCCCTGTTAGGTGCTGGAGTGACTGGTTTGTGTCACTCTGTCTTCATTCTGTGGAACAACTCCAGACCCAGGCATGGTGCCTGGCAGGCACATCACGGGTGCTCAATGGGGAGCTTCTGAGAATACCAAGCACTCATATGAGGCAGGCAAGGCCAGGTTTGGCTCAGGCTCAGCGTAGAATTTGGTTTGGTGTAAGTAGAAAGGGGGGTCTGGGGAGGTGGGTAGTGGACCCTGTCTTTCAGGTCTACAGGCATTGGAGGGGCCTCTGTAGAGAGGGCAGGGCAGCTCCAGCCATGCCCACAGGACCCACTCCATGTATGTAGAGCCCAGTGGAGAACAAATATGTGGAGAACTTGTCTAGAAATGATTGAGAATTTCAACACAGCAACATTGCAGCAATAAACAAAACATGGGGGCCTAAGTGTGGGCCCCTGAGCAACTGATTGCACAGTTGCATATGCATGAAGTTGTCCCCAGTGCCAAGCTCAGTGCTGGTCCCAGAGACAGCATTTGTCCCTTTCTTCTTCCCTCTCTCCCTCCCCATACCCCCTCTCTTATTCACTCATTCACACTCTCTCTCTCCCTTCCACCTTCCCTCTCATCCTCACTGGACAGGTATTTTATTAGGGATCCCCTGGAAATCAGAGAGCTAATTGAAGGACACACACTCCTGCAGTTCATTCTGGTGGTGAAGACAGAGAGCTACTGAGTTGACAAGCAGAACAGGTGGCAATCAGTTTGCTGGAGGAGGAGAAGGCACGGTACGGTCTGGGGTGGTGGAGTGACTTTAGACAGGGTGGTTGGGAAAGGCTTCATGAGTAATGTGGCAAAAGACATGGGAGAAAGGGCAAAGGCAGGGTGATCAGCTATGGGGACCGAGGGAAATGAAAGCGGAGGTGACAGGATTTTCTGCAGGGCCAACTGCAAGTGTGGGACCAAGACAAGTGGAGTATGCTGTCCAAATTTTTGGCCTGAGTAGCAGGAGAGCTGGGGTACCTTGTGCTGAGATGAATGAGGCTCAGATTGAGTCAGCATGGTAGTGAAGATCAGAGCTTATTTCTGGAAATGTTCAGGTATCCATGTGGCACTGCAGAGGAAGCAGTTGGTCCAGAGCTGGGGGTGGCTCTGCCCCTCGGGTATGCAGGGTGGCCAAGTCTACAATGTAACAGAATGCATGCACGATCTGCTGCTGTGGCAGAAGTCTCCGAGCTGTAGGACAGAAAGTCAAGTCCACACAGATGGGTTTGTATCAAATGACTGGCTCAGCACAGGCTCTCAGCACTACTCTCTCTGTAGGGACTGTCGTAGTCTTGGATCAGGCAGGTAAGACAGATAACACCATTCAAAATACATCTGGTTTATTAGGATTAGCTGTGGCATTATTGGTTCCTTTAATAGTTCTAAACTGATACACATTTCCCCACTAACAGCATATATGTAGGTGTGTGTTGAGCTGCAGTGACAATAGCAAACAGGTGAATTGCTTAGAAAATGTTTGTGATCCTAATGGGTTTATGTTAGCCGTGGTGAGAGAAAGAAAAAGTAGCTTGGAGTCTTGCCACAGTGTCCTGGGCAGAGCCAGGTGGGTGTCCAGAGAACCTTTTTGTGCTCTTGCCATGAGCCCCTGTGCCCCACCCCAAAACTGAGGGGGGAGCTGGGTGCCCATTCCCTGCAAAAGAATGGGGTCCTTTGGGATTGGGACATCCCACACTGGCTGCAAGTGACATCTTTGCCTAGAAAGATTTTCAGGCATGAAATCTATTTCTGTATGGGCCAGCATGACCTCTGGGTTACAAGAAGAGGTGTGTTCACATCAGTTCTGGGGTATAGTATCCTGATGTGTTCATCCTCCAGATAGGTGTGGATCAGCTGCATTTCCAGGGTCTCCTTCCTGGCCGGCCTAGGCCCTCCTCTCACCTCTTTCAAGGGCAGACTGTTTGTGAGACCTAGTGTCCCTTCCAAACCCAGCTCCTCTGCCCACTGCCATGGCACCACTTTGAAGCTCTGGTTGTCAGTGCAGAGCTGTCAACTTTGAGAATGAACTCAACTGGGGACCTGCACAGTTTTCCTGGGGTACCTCAGGTAAGACTCCAGACACAGCTAGTGTTCACTCCTGTGCTCATTCCTCATTCATTTCAAATATATTTTTTCTTTTTTACATAGGCAATTCTTTAACCAGATGTGTAAATGCTATTGAATTCATCTCTGTAAGAGCTTTCACATAAATAAATTCATGCATCTGAAAGATCCCTGGTGAAACCATGTGCCTGATATTTAATTTGGGAAATGGTATTGTAGTCACCCGGTTATGGGAGAAGTAGGGTGGGGATGGGGTGGGTGGGAGGTGTGGGGACTTTGTGTGACATGAGCTGTCACAGCTCTGGTGAGAATTCCAGGTCTGGGCTCAGGGGGGTCTTGTGGGTTTGGGAGTTTCCAGTACAGTTTCTGCTTTTCCTTAGCTGAGAAACAGCACAAACATTCACATGGCTGCCCAGCTGAACAGGCACCCATCTTGTCTCTCAGTGCATTTCTTATATTTTTCTCCCTCAAAGAGAAGCCTGAGAAATAAGACGGGGCAAGGGAAGACACTCCCTGTGGGGGAACTGGGGCCCTGCCCCCAGGGGGTAGGTGCTTGGGCACTTTGTCCATCATGAGGGGCAGGGATGAGAACACAAACCTGGGCCCTGGGCCCTGGGCAAGCATGATTGGACTGCCCATTGGAAGGGGACCAGTTCTAGCTCTGCCATGGTGTGCGCAAGTCTCTGGAGGGAGAACAGAGGTGGGTCCCCTCTTTGAGGACTAGAAAAAGCCCTAGAAGACCAGGATGTGGGTGAGGGGCAGCAATTATTCTGCTAGAGGAAGAGGGGTGGGAGACTGAACTCCTAGAGTCAAAGGCCCTGGCAGGGAATCGGCTGCTCCTGCCTGCACCTTTCATGGGAGTCAATACTGAGCAATGGCTCCCCTGTGGCTGCCCCCCACCACATGGTCATAGTTATACTAAGGAGCCTCATGAGGTCACAGCGAGTCTGAGAGTGAAGGTATTCCCGAAGTGGGCAGTGATCCTTGTTTATTGCTGGCGCTAAATGAGGGCCATGGGTGGGCGTTGGCACCTGAGAAAGGCTGGTCAGGCACTGCGGGGCCTCGGCTAGAAAAGGTCTAGGAAAGATTGACCCTATCAGCTAGCCTCACCTGCCCACCCGGCTGTAGGGCCAATGAGTGGGGACTCCCTTCTCCTGTCACTAGAGGTAGCTGTGCTGCCAGCACTGAGCTCCCAGGACAGCTATGGGCCCAGACAGATGGGGACCAGGAAGAAGCTTGTCACTGCCACTGCTGGTGCTAAGAGCCCTGCCTCTGTGGGCTGTGCGTTGACGCCTTTAGCAGAGTCCCCAGGCAAGCTTTTCCCACTCCTGTGCAGAGGGATCAGACTCTTGTGCCTCCAAGTCCCCTTGGTCCCACCCACCCACTCACCCACCTACCTAAATAGTCTCTGCTTTGGAATATACGTTATATATTAGACATTCTCTCTTCAATACAATTGTCCTCTCATAGTGTCAAGTAAAATGAGTCACAGAAGGAAAGGCAGCCCCTGGATACAGAGCTCTCAATGGGCAGCCTCAGGCTCCCTGAAGGGAAGGAAGGGAGAGTAGGGTCTCCTTCCAACTTCTCTTTCTCTGGGCTAAGTTTCATGCCACCCCAAAGCCCAGTTCACACTGACAAGGAGTTGACAGGGGTCACGGGGTGGGGGGCCTATGCATTATGAGGAAGTTCCAGACATTTTTTGAGGCTCAGAGGGCATGTGAGTCTTCCCTGGGAAGCTGACACTAGTCAACTCATCACACCACAGCCAGAGAAAGGCCAAACCAAGATGAGTTAGGGGTGGAGGGCTTGGGGGGATTGGAGGGGTGGGCAGGACGGGGACTCCAATTATTGCAGTCAGGTGTCCCAGAACACCAGGAATTCCTGGGAACCTTGCAGGAGCTAGGAGAGGCAGAGCAGAGGCTCTACTGTGTTTTAAGGACATTCCAGCACATTCTGTCTCTGGAAAACTGCCTGTGACCCTTCTCTGTTTTTGCATAGTGTCAACCCCTTAACGTAGGTCCAGGGATGGACAACCGAATGTATGACAAGAATGTCTTTTTTTCTTTAGTAAATTATGTTAGGGGTTCCTCCAATTTGTGATTTTTTTTTTTTTTTTTTTTTTGCAAGCCACATCTGAGAGGTCAGCTTCTGCCTTTCCTCTGCCCATTTTCCCAACAGTGGGATTGCCTGGCTGGACAGTGTGCTCAGGGTAGGGAGCCTGTTCTCGCTGCCGCTGTCCTTTGAGAGACCCATGTGTTTATTTCACGGAAGACGGAGTTGGTTACTTCAGGAAGCTCTTTGTGGAGAACGTGGTAGGCACCTTCGTAAATCTGGAATTAGGAGAGAGAGGAAATCAGGGCTATAGGAAGCTACAGGTACGGGGAGGGTGGCAGCCAGAATTCCCCCATTTTCTCCCCCTGTCCCCAGGACTCCTGTCTTTATGGTACGAATGCTTTTTGATCAGATGATGGTTCAAAAAAATTAAAATTTCCCAACATGTTCTAGTACTTCCTGTTTTAAATCAACACATACCTTCCATTTACTCTGCTGCTCTCTCCAGCTATGGACCTCGTCTGTGCCTCCATCTCAAAACCGTGATTTCCATTCCCTGTCTTCACTGACTTGCCTTCCACTTGCACCTCAGCTGATCCCAGTCCATTTTCACTCCCACCAACCCACAGCAACTGTTCTTAGCAGGGGCTCCAATGACATTCAGTCACCGTAGCCAGGGAACACTTGCTCTCATATTATTTGTCTTCCCAACATCATTCGAAAGCTTTTGACCTAAAAATACTTTCCTTTTGTGGTTTCTTTCAATTCTTTTCCCAAAATTCCAATGGACTCTCTAACAGGTATCTCAAAATGCAACCCTCTGGGTCACCTATCTTGGTATAGGGGTCACAGTCTCCTCACTGGTGCAGGCCCAAGCCCAGGATTCATCCTAATCACTTCACCACTACAGTCCCTCTCTCTCTAGTTCTGGCCAGGCGGCCCCCTGCCTTCACTGTCACCACCTCAGGGCCAAGCCCATCCCCTTGGCCTGGGTGATACCACCATCTTCCTGCCTGGTGTCCTCCATTCTTACCTCCACGTGGCAGCGGAGGGAAGCTTTGAGAACTGGAGTTGGAGCACATTGCTCTCCAGCTCAGAATGCTCTGGTGGCTTTTTCATTGCACTAAGAGAAAAATTCCAGATTCTTCCTCTGCTGCCAGGTCCCTCTGCCACATACCACCCTCACCCTGTTCAGCACACTTCCACCACGCTGGTCTCCTGGTTGCTTGCATACACTAATATTTTTGAAACTCAGGTCTTTGCAGTGGCCCTTTGTCTGGAATGTTTTTCCACTGCTGTAGTCACTGTCAGTTCTTAGGTCTGCCTGCACATCTGAAGTAGGTGCTTCACCTCATGTCTGGTCCTGCTCCTGCTTAATTTCCTTCAGGACACTGACCCTCTTTGTCATCATCATCCTGTTTGGTCATTTGTTGCTCATCTGCTAGGACATCATGCTTGGGGATGTTGAGACTGTGCCTGTCTTGTTCTCTGGGCCTGGCACAAAGTCAATGTCCACTGAACACTTGGATCAAATAAAGAAATGGATGAATGGATAGTGAATGAACAAATGAACGCTCTGTATGGCTTCCTTTTGTAGGGTCACCAAGGTTCCATTCCAGCAAAGGGAATGATCTGTGAGGTGCCTTCACCCAAACTGCAAAGTGCTCATGATATTTATAATTTCTAGCATTATAAGAGCCAGTCTTCCCTTTTCTCCTTCTTTCTGCTCATCTAGCATTCTATATCTGATAGTTGGTATGGGCTGGGGTCTGCAATGCATAATGGTGTGAGGAGAGCACTTGACAGTTTGCAAAGACATGTGAGTCTCTGTCAGTACAGTATGGAATGGAGAGGGTCAGTGTGCCCAGGGCAGAGGGTGTGGTTTGAATCCTGATCCTACCGCTCAGCAAGTGTGGGATCTGTAATGAGTTGCTTACTCTCTTTATAACTTAGCAGGAAATAGCTCTGGACTCAGGGCTTCCATGTGTCCACTGCGTAAGTGCCATTGGCATGGTTTGGGGACACACTCATTCACTCTTACAATGGAGCTGTGGTCTGCCCAATTGACTGCAGACAGCCGCCTTCAGGGTCAACTGATACTTGATAGGTACACAGTAGGTGTGTCTCCTCCTCCCATTCCCCCAGCTGGAGCTCTTCCCAGATCAATCAGACAAATAAAAACAGGAGCACTTGGACCCTAAAACCATATTTTCTGGCTCTAAAGGCCTTCTAATTAGTCCATTGCAGTCTGTATGTCTGATAGGCCGTGTGGCTAAGCCACAGGTCCCATCCCCTATTGCAGATTCACTAATGCAGACCAGGCCTTGTCATGTCCTATAGCCCTTGGCAGTGGTGATTGGTTCCAAGCTGCTACAGCAAATCAACCTGCAGGGAAGCTGGGCGGCCGCAGGCTTTTGGACATTGGACATGGAAAAGTGGGGGACACGCTCTTGGAGACCTTTCTTTGCCCAGTGCCCTGTTGCAGGCTTTTTTCCTTCACCAGGACACCTTCTGCGTATTCTTTCTTTTTCCCTTTCTAGCTTGTTCATGTGAACAATTGGCTAATGGCTTGTGTTCTTGCTTAGAATTAACAACTGCCTTGTATTCCTTGGTAGTTATTTCCCAGTGGGGCCAGGCTGGCCCCATTTCAAGATGCCTCTCCTGGGAGTGGCTTTGTGGGTTCTGGGCAGATGTGCCCAAAGAGATGCCACCTTCCCAAACTTGGGGAAGCGAGGGGGTTAGGTGCTCACCTTGAGTGTCTTGTCCTGGCTCTTGGCAGACTCCATGAGCAAGTAGGCCCCTTTGCTGTCACACAGGCGGTCAGCAGAGCCCTGGAGCAGCAGGAAGGGCAAGGTCAGCTTGGGGAGGGCCCGCTCCACCCTCGAGACAGCATTGAGCAGCTGGATGCCAAAGCACACTTTCAGTCCTGCTCGGCAAATGAGGGGGTCCGTGTTATAAAGGTCGACCTGAAGGAAAAAAAGAGAGAGGGTTCTGTCAGTTCATGGGTGAGGGGCTTTTCTGTTTTCTGTTAGCTCCTCCTTCTTTTTTTAATCCTCACCCAAGGATACATTTATTGCTGAGAGAGAGAGAGAGAGAGAGAGAGAGAGAGAGACCTAGATGTGAGAGAAAAACATTGATCGTGTTGCCTCCTGTATACGCCCCAACAGGGGATCGAAACTGCAAACAGATGTATGCTCTGACAAGGGATTGAACCCACAACCCAGGTATGTGCTATGCCTGGGAATTGAACCCACAATCTTTTTTTTTTTTTTTTTTTTTTTTGGTGTATGGGATGACGCTCTAACCAACTGGGCCATCTGGCCAGGGCTGTTAGCTCTTTCTTGTGCTTTGGCCTGAAGAGCTGATTCCATTCAGTCAGACTGTTTGGGGCACAGGTCTCAAGAGCCAGCAGTATGGCCAGTCCTTCCCTGACCCATACCTGCACTATTTTTGATGACTCTCTTTACAGGCTGTTCTATGCCTGTAAAGAGAGTCATCAAAAATAGTGCAGGTATGAATTTCACATTCATACATGTGCCTATAGACTGTTTCAAGTATTAATATCTATATTTTTATATAGGCAGCATTGTATTATTTACAGATCATTTCACTAAGGAATAGCTGTGATGATATTTTGGTGTTAGTCATCTGGATTTTGCTTTCTCTAATTCTGTCTCCCCTTACTTAGTGTCCATCTGGTAGAAGTGGGTGAGGGGCACACACAAAATGCAGGGGCAGTAGGGTCCATGGTGGAAGGTGGACTGGTTTGAGGAGCTCCCAAGGCATTTTGGCAGGGAACCACCCCACGGGCTTTCAGAGGAGCAAAGTCCAGGGCAGGTCTGGGCCGTGGTGGGCTCTAGTCTCCATGTTCTCTGGGCTGCAGAAGGCTGCCTGTCATTCTGACAGGGATAGCTGCTACTTCTTTAGGGGATATGCCCAGAGGTTGGGTCCTCCCTCTTAGTCATCAAATTGTCCAGGACCTAACTCTGACACTCTCCCTGCTTATGGCTCAGGCGCCAATCTCTCCCTTAATGGGGATACCCTGATACCTTGTCCTTGTTCTCCCTGGCTTCACTCATCTTGCCTCTAAGAGAACAGTGAGTTATCTGTTCACTGTGGCCCCAGATGAGGCATTGCCCCCACAAAATTTGGGTGAGAAGTCTCTCAGACCCATATGGGTGGGTGTGAGGCCACAACCATCCCTTATCTCATTTCCCTTATCCTTGCCAGTGGATTCTCAGCTGGTTGGACAAGTGCTGCATGGTTTTAATACTGGGTAAGGGAGCAGAGGGGCCATGGGGACAAGGAACACAGGGATAGCTAGAAGAAAATGTGCTTCCAGCTGCCCTGTGTGAGGATGACAGAGTGTCCACTGTGTTCTAATCTGGGTCTGCAAGGGTGGGGGCTACACCGCTCTTATGTTACCACCCCTTTAGGACTTGCCTAGAATCCAGATTCATGCCAAAATGGAACAAGCTATTTTGGGTTATCACTGCCATCCCTAATTCCTCTGATGCTTGGAGACAGAGCAGGCAAACAAGACCTTTGTGGAAAGCCACATGAGATGGTTTAGCCGCTTCCTGCAGTTGAGCTGGTGTGAATCCTGCAGGGCCAGGCCATTTATTTGGGGGATGAGGGGACAAGAGACTGGCTGGGGTAGTGCATAGGCAGTGCATGGCCATAGCAGTTGCTTGTCCAGGGTTTGCAAGGAGCCCTCTTTGGAAGGAGAGTCTGGGCTTGGGGTCTGTCGAGAACTGAGGCTAACAATGAGAGCAATTGGTAACTGCAGCACCACTGACCAGACACATACTCTGTACCCAGCACAGTGTCAGGGCATCATATGCAAGATCTCATTTAGTGAAAAGAAATAAAAATAGCTAATATTCCTGAGCTCCTTCTTCCTATGTGCATGCATTAAGTGTTTAACCTGATTAACCTGTCTGAGGAATGACTCTCATTATCCCTGTTTTGCAAAGGAGGAACCTGCTTATTATTCATTACCCAGTTCCTGTTCTCCCCTATAGAACCTTGAATGTTTCATTTGGAACACAAGCATCCAGAGTAAATACTACATTTCCCAGGCTCCCTTGCAGGTAGGTGTGGTCATGTGCTCACATCCTGGCCAATGGGAAGTGAGCAGCAGTGCTCTGTGCTCCCTTTTGTCAAATGCTTGCCCTATTTATTTCCCTCCTCCCACCTACCAGGACACAAGCAGAGTAGGGATGCAGTTGAGGCCACAGGGACAAGAGCTGCACCCCAGAAACAGCGAGCAACAAAATGTGTTAGAGCATGTGGGGCTGGTGACACTGAGGAATAAGCTTCTCTCCTGTTTAAGTCCCGACTATTAGGGTCTGGGTCTCTTTAGGCTGGCAGCCCTTCTAACAGCTCTCCATTCTATGCTTCTGAGCCCTGGTTGCAGGGAATGTGTCCTTATGCATGCACAGGGCCAGAGTCCATTAGACAATCACCTTCCTGAAATGGCCTGCCAACTTGTCCTGCTGACCCAAGACATTCTGGCCACATGAGGCCCATGGGGAGTCTGTTTCAATTCTTCTGCCGGCCCAATTGGCTTCCTGCTTTTGGCTTCATTTTCCATGTCTTGATCATGTAGTTTCTGTTTACACAGTGGCTGATTCTGGGCCTGGGGAAGGAGTTGCCAGATATGTCAGAGAAAGGGCAGGCCCCTGGGGCGAGCCACAGCTGGGGCAAAAGGCAAGGGACAGAGGGAAAGTTGGATTTGGAGCAAAAAGTAGGGCCTTATCTCAAGGGGAAACAGATTTAGAGGGCCCAAACTTTCCCCTCAAGCAACCATTCTGGCTGTCATCATGGTAGCCTTTGCTTACTTGAAGCTAAAGGTGACAAAATGAGAGACATGAAGAATAGGAATGTGGTTGTCAGGGGTGAGGCAGGGGGAAGTGGGTGTGCTGTGCAAGGGCAACATGAGGGGTCTTTGTGGTGATAGGACATTCTGTGGTTTGACTGTCTGATGTCAATTTCCTGGTTGTGATGTTGTCCTACAGTTTTGTAAGATGGTAGCATTAAGCGGAACTGGGTAAACAGTCTATGGAACTCCTCTCTATTTTTCTCAAAAGTACATGTGAATCACTTTTACATCAAAACAAAAAGTTTAATTTAAAAACATATAACAAAGACCCAGTCTTTGACAGTATCTCTCACACTCCCTTCCCCCTATTTTTTTTTTCATTACAATTGTTCCTGCCAGCTAAGAATGTGTCAGCTGGGTACTTGTCAGTTTTAGGCTGTGGGTCCAGGTCCAAGCGGCCACATCTTTGCTTCAGAAGTCTGACCTCTTGGGGGTGCCTCTACTGGCTGAGATTTCAAGTCTTTTTTTCTTTGGGGGAGGTAAACTGACAATATGAAGAAGACCAGAAAAGCAAAGAGCATGGAACCCTGATATTTCCCATCTGGGCATGGCTCTTTCCTAGACTCAGTTGTGAAATGGGGGTGATAGTGGAAATGCTTCAGAGGAATCCAGGGAGATTCAGTGAGATGAGAGAGACACAGTGTCAAGTCCAGGGTCTGGCCCCATGGTGAGGTTGATGATGTGTGGGGTACATCTGAACCTGACACTGAGAACAAGAGGAGGAGAGCAACTCCACATGGGAGGCCTCTCTGCTTCAGAGATCTTGAGCCACATGATTTTAGGTGAAGCCTTATTCATTCTGAGACTTTGAAGGTTCCTCTTGGGTTTTAAGTTTTACAGGTTGCGAGTAATTTCCTGGCCTGTGTGTACTTTAGTGATCCTCTAGTACCTTCACTGTCTTCTAGAGCTCTGAGAGCTCCCAGAAACATTGAACTTGCCAGTCAGGAACATGGTAGCTGGGGCTTCTGATTTTGAACACTGTCTGTGGTAGAGAAACTCTGCCCTAAAGCACAGTGAATATAGCTACAATCTACAGCTGGGCGTTTTCTTAACTTGGTTGAGCAAAATCTAGGCACCAACCCTACAGTCACATCCCTTGACCTATTTTTAAAAAGTCTGTTCTGTGATGGAGTGCAAAATTACATTTTTAATTAAAATAAAATTTAAAATAATGAAACATTGAGCCCTTAATTTTGTACCAGGGGCTGTGTTAAGCACTTTACTTGTACTTTTACTTTTACATGTACTTTTTTTTTTTTTTAACTTGTACTCATTGAATCTTCATGGGAATCCAGTGTAGGTACTACTGTTATTATCACCATTTTATACATTAGAAGAAAGGCTCAGAGAGGCTAGGTCATCCACCCAAGGTTACACAGTAAGGGGCGGAGCTAGGATAAGAACCTAGGCAGTTGGGCTCCACAATCAGCATGTTTAATCACTCATTATGCCATGCTACCTGTCTAGAGAAGAGAAAGTAAAGGTGAGTCCTGGGACTCATAGGACAGCCAGGAGCCATGGAGGTGGCACCCCTCAGAAAAGAAAGGGATGGGTCCCTGGTGAGGACCATAAATATCTAGGCTTGACAGACTGTGAAATGACTTAGTGGTTCCCACAGGTTGCCACCCTTCACAAAAGTGGATGGGGTGCCCTTCTGGACACAGGAAGGCATGTGCCTTCCTCACATGACATTGTTTACCACTTCACAGAGAAATATATCCTAGCAAGTCTAATCTCCTGCAGTTTCCTTTCAGATACCTACATATGTCTATAACTGGGTTTTTCTGACCCTCCTTCCCTCCAATCCCCTCCTTTTTCCTATGGAAGCCTCACTCTTCCACCTGTGCTTTGGAGCCCATCCCAGGATCCCCATCTCCTTCTCCATTGTTTAGATATTTCTTAATTCATCTATTTTTATCACAGGGAAATCAGATAGCCTTCTCTGACATACTGGAGAGAATACACAAGTGATTCTACTCACATGATCTCTGTGAAATCTAGAAAGCCATGGGAGCCCTACAGTAAATGGACTTATCTCTGCAGAGACAATCTCTATTTCCTATCTTTGTTTTTAATGGAAAT